CATGTTATTAAATTTTCCACAAGAACAATATTTATTGAAATATTATTTAACATATTCAATACAGTTTGATTCAAGTCAGTAGAAAGGTACAAGTTGCAGCGACCTATATGTTTAATTTCGTTATAACTATTTTGTGAGAGATTCTCAAATCCAACGGATATTTCTCGAATCAATCGTGATTCAATAATTTCGAAATATTTATCATCATTAATATTTGTTAATGCACAAACATTATCGAGCATAAATTCTATTCTTTCAACATCGTTATATATGAAGAAAAGTCTTTCTTTAAACTGGCTTATATCCGTAACTGATAATATTCTAGAAAATTCAATCCAATTTTCTTGTTTAATTTGATCATTCTGTGTTAACATCATCGTTGAGTAAAGTAGTTCTTTTATTGATGTTGGATTACGTGATGATTCTAATGTTCGCATTATTGAATTCCAAGTATGTTCATTTATGAAATGAATCCTATCTAAGAACTGCATTCTTCGTTCATTGACAAAGGTTCTCTCTTCTAATTGATTTATATGTTCATTTAAGTGACGAAAAACTCGAGGATCATCCCATAATAAGTCATAGAAAAAACTAGCAATATAAGCTCGAATTCGTGGAAGATGCTTTTTTGCCCATGCATATTCAAGAATTTTTGTCAATGTCTTTTCTCCTATTACAGATATTCTCTTACTTGGTTCTTTGACATCTCTTTCTGGATGTTGAAAAATTCGTTGAGCTCTATATCTCATTTGATCATTATCATTTATTAGTAAATCAACAATTGTATCGATTGCTGATTCAAAAACATGCTTTGCTTCTGCAAGTAGAATAGCTGCTAAATTTTTAATTGAATTATTATTATGCTGAGTAAACCATTTTTGAACAATTGGTAATACTTCATTAGATGGTTTTATAATATATGGAAAAATTATTGAAATACTATCTTGTTTTCCTAGTTGTAACAATTCATCAATAATTATGGCTATTTGTGGTGTCAAAAATATTTCATTATGTAAACCAATATTTAATATCTTTTCAATATTTGATTGATTATCAGTATCTTTAAAAAGATTAGTCCATAATTGATTTGTACTTTCTGTTTTATCAATAACTAGTTTTGTGTCATTCAATTGTGCAAATAATAAAAATAAAGTTTGAAGTTCATTATAATTTGAAATATTTGCTGTTTGTTTATTATCATCTCTATTTTCTAAATTTTGATTTGTATCTAAACTTAAGTTTGAAGAACGAAGATGAAATGTTTCAGTATATAATAAGATTCGTCCATAGTAAGAATTAACAAAATAATTATTCATTTTGTTTTTGAAACTGTCTATAATTTCATTCAACTTAATTTGAAGATCATCATAAATATTAATTAAAGATTTTAATTTAATAGTTAGTTTAATTTTATCATCATTTTCATCCATTCTAGTTAGCATTTCTACAGCATTTGTTAAATATTTTTTTCGAAAATCTCCTGATCTATAAAATGATAATCTTATTGATGCAATAATTCGATTATAAAGATTTTCAATATGATCAAATGTTAAAATTAATTCATTGATTACTTGCTCGATGAATAATTTCTGTTCTACTTCTTTATAATGAATAATGCAAAAAATTTTTTCCAAAACTTGAAACTTTAATATTGGTTTTTGAATATTTTTTGTTAATATAAAAGATTCATTTAAGAGTTCATAACATTTTTCATCATAAAATTCAGCTAATTGATATAATGCTCTTGATTTATAATATGGATTACACATTGTTTGAATTTTTTCAAATAAAAAATCTTTTACATCTGGTTTTTCAATCAATTCAGGTAGTAAATTTTTGTAGATCTTAAACCTATCTAAATCTTTTGACATAATACCAAAGTGTAACAATATAACTAATGGAATCAATTCAGGATTTCTATTGAAATATTCTTCTTTAAAGAACATGTGAGAAACAGTATCTACTAGACATGGCACATTAGTATTAATGTTTTCTAAACAATTGAAAAATGCTATTGGTATATCATCGTCATCATTTGATTTAAAAGTAAATAAATCTGTAGCCCATGGATATGCTCGAATTGGTTTATTGATCTGAATAGCATTACTGATGTTTAAAAATGAGTTTATAATTTGGTCAGTTTTACTTGAAGGAATGTATGTATCACATAATACAGCGATTTTATATCGGAAATCATCATCAACAGCACTAGTAAATTGAAAGGCAAAATATTCTGCATATAAACTGTATTTATCTTCAACATTGCTTACTGCTTCAGCTAATATCTTAGTGTCAATTGGTAAGCCTCCAGCATTGACTATTAATGATAAATATATTGTGCAATAGTTTAGAAAACTTAGAGTATATTTATACGGATTCACTTTCATATCGTTATAAATTTCAAGTAAATACTGACCAATATGTGAAGACCATCTGGCTATTGGATCTTTCAAAATATCAATAAGTTGTTCTATTCTATTTCTGAAGTTTTTTATAAACATTTCGTCTCGTTCATTTATAATAGTATTTATAAAATTGAAATCTCCTAGAGCGAGCAATGCAATTAATGCTTCTATTTCTTCATTCATATTTAAATATTTGTGGTTTACTTGTTTTCGTAAATCTTCTGTCAGTTCTGTCGTAGATTTTTCTTCTTCAAGCAATTCGAGAATTTTGTTTGTCAAAAATGATTCTTTATAGATTTGATTTTTATTAAACATTGGTTTTTCGTTCCAATGATCTTTAGGCACAAAGGTATCAAGATACACAGCCATATTATAGGCTGCATCATCTCTACCCCAAATTTCTTGATAATAAAAAATAAATGGTAATCTTTCATTATCACTTAATCCAAGAAATTGAACGATTTCATAATATTCGGAAATTGTTGCTTGAATATTATAATTTTTATATCCTCCATAAAGAGCTGTAATTAGAGATAACCAATTGTTATGATTTTCAATATAGATGATCATTTTTGAATTGTTATTTATCGCATTTTGAAATTTTAATTGAGTTCGAACTGCTTCATCTTTAATTTCATTTGCATAGAATCGTAACACGGTATCGATAGGCCAATTCCAAATGATAGAATCATTGTGTAAATTCTTTAGAAATATTTCATGAAACATTGGATGATACCATTTAAGTTGATAAATAATATTAGCACACGCAGCAATATTTTCTTCATGATTGATTTTGTCAATAAACCATTCTGTACATTTATTAGCATATTTATTTTTCAGTTTCATAAAATATGACTGAATTAATTCTTGATGTTCTTTCAATCGTGAGAAGCCAGACATATTCTTATAATCTAACAATAGCATATCTGCTAATTTTCGAATCAATTCAAATTCTATATCTTTGGACGAAAAGTACGTATCATTTAATGAATCAATGATGACAAATGGTACTAGAAGTGTAGAAGAGGATGTATTTGATGAAATTTGTTCATCTTTTAACAATCTTGTAATAATATTGTTAAATAATAGACTATGTTTAATTGATTTACTTAATATTCCAAATGTCATACTAAGAGGAACTCTCCAATTAGGAATACCAATTTTTTTATGAATATTTCGATAAATCATTTCTTCAGATCGTTCGATACCATAAGAATAGATAATACTTTTAGCTGCAAGATATTCTTGAAATGTACGATGTATAAATCGAAAACTATTATGACCAAATTCATTGAGTAAACCTGCTTGATATTTAAAAATATCCACAAGCTTTGAGATTAAATCATTAATGTTTGTTTTAGAATTTGTTGATAATTGTTTTTGATAATTTGTTAAATATTTTCTTATTATTTCTTTTAAAATATTCTCTGATAGTCCTTCAACTTTATTATGTAGATAATCAGCTATTTCTTGTAATATTGACCATAGCATAGTAGCATTTAATTCAAATTCTTTATCGAGATCATTTGTTTTACAATTTATATAAGAAGTTACTAAACGTTCTATCATCTTTTCAATAGCTTTTTCATATAAATCAATTCTTTTCTCTGGTAATTTATCTTCATATTGATTATAAATTGCAGCAATTACACTAGCTAATTGTGGATTAATTGCCAACTGAAAAATATCTTTGTTTTGCGTTATATCATTGTATAGTTGATTAGAATCATATTCTTTACTGATTTTATCTGATTTAATCGAAATATTTTTAATAGATTTCATATATGAACTACAAAATAATTTAAGAGCATCATTAGACATATCTTCAATAGTTAATCTTGGAATGTAAAAATTAATATCTTCAAAATAATTTCCTTCGATACGACTTGTTATAATAAACCGATTTCCAATATTAGGATCCTTAGTATTATTTATTTCCTTTTGTTCATGAATTGAATACGTAACTTTATCATATATAATGTCATAATCAATTCCTCGTTCTAATAATGTATTTATTTCTTTCATTAAATCAGATCGATCGATATGAGCAGGAACTTCATCTAATCCTTCGAAAATAACTAAAACATTTCCTTTCAATAATGATTCAACAATACAAGTTGATAATTCCTGTCGCTCATCATCAGTGAAAAATGTTGAATCGAGAGTAGGATTTTCATAAATAAATTGAAGTAAAGTCTTTTTTCGTTGATTTCGATTTTCTTTTAATTGATCAACATATTTCCATATTGGAATAAGAATTGGTATTTTGTTGTTCGTAGAATAATCACATTCAAATAACATATTTTCCTCACCTAGACACTGTTTAGCCATGTTCATTACCAACCATTTTGATAAAGTGGTCTTGCCTGAACCAGGATGACCTAATATTAAAAAATGTTTAAACTTAAAATATACTTGTTGAATTTGATATTGTTTTGCTTCTTTAAGATTATTGTTTTCTAAAATACTTCGTTTTAATCGATTTACTTTATTTTTAATACTAGTTGCTTCGTTTTCAGTAAATATATTTTTGTTGTTTAATAGTATATTTAACCATTGTTCAATCATGAAATCTCGATAGATCGTTTCCGAATTGTATGCATTTTTTTCTATGATAGCTCTATGCAATTGTTTTCTTTCAGTCTCATTGAAAAAATCTGGAGATAGAAGTTTACGTTTAAATTCTTCATAAATTTCGAGCATTTTCATGGCTTTAATCGATGGATGTGTTGGATCAAATTTTAATTCTACATAAATACTTTCTAATGGTAAACTCATGTTAATATTAGAGTATCCAAAAATTGATACATGCCCATATTCATTGATAAGATAATTCAAATATTTTTTGAGAATCTTTTCTTTTTTGTTCGTTAATAATAAATTTTCACGTATGATTGATGTAAATGGCTTAAGACTTTTTATAAAATATAATAAATCTTGCGAATTATTGCCATATTGAACTTCTCTAATATTTTCCAAAAATGAAACATCTGATGTTTGATTGAGTATTTTATTTTTATTTGATATAATAAATTTATAAATTGACAATGGTTTATCACCTGTTGCATGAAATATCCATTTTAATAAATTCGAAAAATTTGGATCAGACATTCTGGCACCATATCCTATGAATAATAAACTTCTTGCGTCTATAAGTGCTCTCAGTTGTGATTGCCTAAATTCATTTTCCAGAAATCTATTATAATCATCACTATTGAAAATTACACTATCCGGTTCTTTAAAATATCCGTATACATGTAAAATATAATTTTTCAAATTCTCCAATGAGTTGTCCATACTATTAGCATCATATTCATTCCAAATTAATGTTTTTTTATTAAGTATGTCTTCGAGAAGTGAGTCATAGTTAGTTGTGAGAATAGGGCATCCCAATTCTCCGATAGCATTAATAAGTTCTGGTCTTTTAACTGATAAATTTCCAATTGTTTCTCTTAACCATGATTTATAAAGATCATGGTTCGTTGCATCACTTTGCATTTTGAAGTAGTACTTAATTCGGTCGGCAGCAAGTAAATAGTCATCAACTTCAGCTGTGTTACTGTGGAACTTAATATTGAAATCCTCGAATTCTTTATCACTGATCCATCCTGACTGGTGACATTGTTGTAACCCATTTTTTAATAATCCCTTAAAGTGAGAAACATCTTGTTCACTGTTGGTTGTGTAAGTAGATATACCTGAACCAATAAATATCACCGCATGATTTAAAGCTATGTCCTTTTTAATTTTTAGAATTTCATCAGCCATTTGTTAATTTTATCGTTCGAAATTTATCTACAATATATTTTGCATAAATTTAAGTTATATTTAGTTTAAAACGTTCTTCATAATAGACGAATCTGATCTACTTATTAAAAGAAAGTAAAATGGATCTCAGTTTTATTCGCAGTTTCACATATGCTTATCATTGAACTAGAATAAGTCTCAATAGAGAAGACGAGTGCACACATAATAGGAATGTAGCTGACTAGTAATGCAAAAGCAACTCAATATTATTCAGTAGATTAAGATAAGTAAGAAATGTTGTTGACCGATATTAACAATAGTATTTTCTGATTTTTCGGTTCGTATGATTTCTTTCTGAAGACATATATTTTTTTTTTTGATGTCATGGAACCACACTAATGGAACAAGAATTGGTTCGAAAGCACAGCCATATTTATACACAAGGCTATATTCTCTGCTTAGTTCTGTATACATTTTGATTTTCTATTTAGTAGTGGAATTTGTAAATCCATCATTTGAATTGAGAACATCTACATATATGATCAAACTAACATGTAGAACTAAGAAAAATATCTACGCATATGGTGGGATCGCATCTACAAATATAGCAAAGTTATTTTATAACTTTGCTTTGTCCTCTCAAAAAGCCTATAGATCAAATCAGAACAGGATGAAAAAAGTGGTCTGTTATCAAGTCCGGTATAGTTACCTTCATTTCTTGAGTCTTGAGAGCATCTTTTGTGATATGAATATCTTAACAAACCATCCAGATAAATAATCAAAAAAAAACAAGTTTAACACTTTCCATATTTTGAATTAAGTATATTCCCAGTGGAAAATGGTTTATTCGAAAGATATATATATTGCTTGGAATACGGATTAGATGAAACATTAGTCAGTTCAATATGATTGCAAATGTAACAAATGACATATTAATTTAAATTTGATCCATGAAAACTTATGTAACATTTAGATTTGCTTTGGATTTTAAATTTGAAATATATGTTTTTAAAGATCAAAATCCAACTAATCAGTCAATTGTTACGAGATTTAAATCTGATAAAATGTGTGTTTATTTAAGATTTTATTTTTGATGAAAATTTCCACATTTTTCAAGTTCTCAGGATTTAACATATACTTAGTTTTATTTTTTATTTTTAATAACGGAGTTTATACAACTGATGCGATTAATACGCGTTGATTTCTTTTTCGACTCTCAGTAGTAATTGGTAAACATGTATGGTAGACAGATGTAAAGTTGACAATTAAATTATGAATTTTGTATTTAATGTAATTCTACCAGCTGACAGGTTTGTGGTTGAGCACGAGTTCTTAATAAAAATTTGCCTATCGTGACATGCAGAAGAACAACTAATGAAGAAGAAACATTTAAGATTAGAACGAACATATATATATGTACTCATGAGCAAGTTGGAAAATTCCAATTGAGTCATAAACTACTAGTATGCTTGGAAAATCTCATCTAAGGCTATGATAAGATGGTTCGACAAATCAAAGATGCGATTGATGGATACCTCTAACACTGTTCTTGCCTTAAAATTCTACACGTGAACAGAAAGATATTAAGAAACAACAAAAAGTTTTCATGGTGTACAAAAAAAAAACATCTGTTCTGCTGTTTCGAACACTCACCGGCCTCAATTTACTTTGCACAAGAGCACAGCATTTGTCGGAAGAAAAATTCAATGTAATTGCGTGTTTTCGATCGAGAGTGAAACAATAATTTCTTCTTTCTTTCACAGTATTTTGATGCAATAAAATTTTTTTCTTTCGATGAAAAGAATAGTTTAAGGACGTTTATGACTGCTTATTTTCCAACCAATGCTTCGACAGACGAAAAAAGTGTAGACTGTGCGTCACAATCAACACTATATATAGTACTTCCGCAGAAAAAAATGTATAAAACAATCCAATTTTGTACCGTTCGGTGGTTTTTTCGCGCACATTTCGGCGAATAAGTTGATAAGCGTATTAATAGTCTTTGAATGCTTAGGATAATGTTTGCTTCACACTAGGCGTGACTTTTTTTCCCGCAATTTCACTTTTTAAAGACTGAAAACATATATTCGTCAGAGCTTAAATAGAAAGAATGAAAGCAAGAAATAAGTAGGCTACACTCTAATATGGGTGTGGGTGTGGGTATGGATGGGTGTGAGGTGTGAGTGTGGGTGTGGGTGTGTGGGTGTGGGTGTAGGTGTGGGTGTGAGTGTGGATATCGGTGGGTGTGGGTGATGGAGGTCGGGTGGGTGTAGGTGTGCGTGTGAGTGTGGGTGGGTGTGGGTGTGTTGGGTGCGTGATGTGGGTGTGGGTGTGGGGTGTGGGTGTGGATGTGGCGTGTGTGTGACGTGGGTGTGGGTGGGATATGTGGGTATGGGTGTGGGGTGGGTGTGGGTATCACACTTAGTATTCATTTCATTCACACCCACATCCACACCTACACCCACACCCACACCCACACCCACACCCATACCCCACACCCCACGCTCACACCCACCCACACACCCACACCCACATCCACACCCACACCCACATCCACACCCACACCCACACCCACACCCACACCCACACCCACACCCACACCCACACCCACACCCACACTAGTATCCTGCGGGAACGACTTTTTCTGATTCCCATTCCCTATTCCCATTCCCTAAATAAAAAATTTTGGTTCCCATTCCCTTTTTCCCATTCCCTAAAAAAAATTTTTGTTCCCATTTCCTTTTTCCCATTCCCTAGAAAAAATTTTTTGTTCCCATTCCCACGTTCCCATTCCCATAGTTCCCATAAGATTTTCTAAGGCTCTGTTCATCTATGCGAAAGTGTCATTGGCATATATGTATACCAGTTTCTCGCAACATCACGTTTTGCGCATCGCGACGCTGTTACATAATGCTTCACTTATTTTCTTTTTCTGTTTTGTTGTGCTTGTTGGCATTGGTTAAGCAGGTGTTCCTGCGTATATGCACTATACATTCAAGCTGGTGTGCTTTTTCCTTAAAAAATTGTTCCACTGTGTAATTAGAAAATGTATAGTCCAACATAGTATTCATCATATAGAGAGAATGTTCCTCTTATAGTAAAGTGTTCCCCTCCCCTCACCCAAATAGAAAATCAAAAAAATTATAGATAAATATGGAGATTATTTATTGATAAATCGTTCGTTTTTTTGTTGTAAATAACCTTAATATTTATTTATAGTTTTTTTTTATTTTCTATTTGAGGGAAGGAAGAGAAAATAATGATGTATCGCAAGATGATCTTGGTAATGTCATTTTCGAAGTCGATGATGAAAAAGAAAATAATATTTGTGATGATTAAATTACGATGTGATTAAGAATAAATCAAGTCTATTTTTTGTTGATACACATTTGTTATTTTTTTGTTAATTGTATATGAATAAGAAAAGTTATTGAAAATAAACAGTTATCAGATAGAAATATTTTTATGTATTGAAATAAGATAAAAAGAATTTTGGGAACGTCAATTTTTAATTCTGTTCCCATTCCCATGTTCCCATTCCCTAAGTCTAAATGAGAATTCCCATTCCCATGTTCCAATTCCCTAAGTCTAAATGGGAATTCCCATTCCCATTCCCATGGGAATGGGAATGGGAAAATTAGGGAAAAAAGTCGTTCCCGCAGGACACTAACCCACACCCACCCCACACCCACGTTAGATGTCGAGAATTAAACACTCATCACACTTGCAATACAGGATCGTTGAAGCCCAAATTTCAACTGTGAAAAACAGTTAAATAGGAGATCTTCTCGCATTGCAAATATAAGTTCGTTTTCTCTAGACGAAAAATCGATCGAACAGTTTTAGTCGTGTTATTGAACAATGTTCAAGAAGGATTTTTTCCAGCAGATTGACTTGATATCTCGCTTAAAAACTCAAAAATCAATTAATCATAGAACAGATACATCTGTCATACCACTGATAAATTTTATTAGTAAATAAGTTTGGAAAGAGTGTGGGGTGTGAGTGACAAGAAGAACTCACCCATACTCACATCCACACGCACTTACACCGTCACACCCACACCCAAGCATAAACATGCTAAAGTTTGTCTCTCATTGATACGATATGGATTTGAATTTCATGATTTAACTTTAGATACATATGACCATTATTGATCTCTTTACAGACCGTCGACTAGAACATGTTCGTCCTTGTGGATACGTCATTCGTATACCGAACGTAAGTCAGGAAGGCTATATCTTAGTCAATATGGAAAAGAATAGGTATGCGATGTTGTTCGATGAAGCAATCTGCGGCATTTGGAATGACATGCCTTTGTATACGAGTTCAGACCTGATTCAACCCATGAAAGGTAAAGCCAATGAAGGCAACGGTCAGATCAAGGTCACCATGCTCAAAACAATTGATGAAGAGCAAGTCATCGCTTTCAAAGTGATGGATTAGATTATTACGATACTTAATGCATTTTCGCAAACGAATTCAAGAAGACAATTTTAAAAAAAATGTATTATCCATCTTTTTATTAAATGAATATTTCATTTTCATGAGAATCGAATCAAGAAAGTTTTTCTTAAATATAAAGCACTATGTCAGATGAGCCATCTACCAACTCAGTATATTTCAAATCACCAATGTCAATCTGATTCTTCTTTACTTAGCCAGGAAGAAAATTTTATTCATATATTGATAGGATTGAGAAAGAAAACAAATTAATCATTATCATTCTCGATGCATTAATGCTCAACTATCCTTTTAAGTTTTGAAATCTTTTGCGTTATGTTCTCGACCGACAGAATCCCATTTGATCTTTAGAGATGAACACTACTGCCGTTTTCAGCCGTGTTTCTTATCTTTATCGTTGTTTGATCATTCATAACAACAGCAGTACTAGAAACATTTGTGTGAACCAATAAATTAGAACAATAGCAAATTTCTCGAAACTCTGGTCGTTTCCATGCAATACAAGCCGACGTTGTACCGTATTTGTTCATCCGACTGAGATGTCGTTTTTGAATATC